TTTTTTTTTCTTTTTTTCAATGGTTAAATAATACGTTGCTTGCTTTTCTCAATTGAATTAAGTAAATTTTATTGATAAGAGATTGAATGCATAATCTTGGGGGCAATTGGCATAACTCTGTGACATACTAATGAAGGAAGCTAAGTCTAATTGGAGTAAAATAATGTTAAGATCAAACTCACAATTAGGATGTGAAACTATCAGTTCTGGCAATTCCCACAGCGTGATCAGCTTAATTTATTTAGTTATCCCAATCTTCTTCTTTGATGCTGCACTTTCATCGCAGTCGGAAGTTTCCATTTTGTACCCCTGAATTCTGAATGACAGTTTTATATTGCTGTTTTGAAATCTTTTGATTTGTCTCAATCAAAAATAGTAGATGTATGGGCTCTATGGAGTCCGATGTTTCTAAATTAAAGCTTGACTTGTGTGTTTATAAGTAATTTGGTTATATCTTTCCCTTACAAGGAAGTCTTAAGGATGCCTATCCCATGTGCTTGTAATGATAGTATCAGTCTATCAAAGCAAACACTTTTTCAGGGTTTCTCTCATTGGGAAACCTGAGGATGAGTACTTGTACTTGTTCCTTGAAGTCACATAGCTGGGAATATGAGCTGCCATAAATATTGATTTTGAAAATAAGGGTAGAGTCCATTAGGCTCTACATCACTAAATTAAAGCTTGGCCTGTGGTCTTATAAACACTTTGAGCATTCTCTTTCACAAGCACAATCTCTTTGAAATGAGAAGTTCATATTGGTGAATTTGTTGTATGAGATTTTCAAAAGCAAATGTGCTCAAGTGTTTCAGCTATAGTCCAGTGGCCATGCTGGCAGCAATGTAATTTCGTATACACATGTATATTGGAATGTTTTATATTTGTCTGGTTTGTATTGGCATGTTCATATTTTCCTATTTAGTTTGAGAGAGTTTTAAGGAAATGAGATAGATCTTATACAGAAAGCAGCCAGATACAAGGTCAAAAGAGAGTACCCTGAACTGTCTATATAGATACATTGAATGTCAAGTGATTAATTGCTAAACATAAATCATATTGTCATTTGAATACAACGCAGCTTTGTTTCAGTACGCCCAAAACTTTTTAACTAATCAGCTCTTGTACATAACACTGTAACAGTTATCTACCTAAAATGTTGCAATAACAAATGATTGTTTGACAAGTCTCTCTTTACTCGATGCCTTGTGCGAATGTTTGTATTTTTCTAATTGTCCATACCTTTATCGATGCAGATTCCCCTCAGCATGAAGAGAAAATCTCTGGTTCTTTGTTGGCAAATCACGACTCTAGCGACCAATTTGACCAGCTAAATAACTCCGAAGACAAAGCACAACCTTTAAGGTATATTCGATACACAATATTAGATAGGACTAAACTGCACAAAAATTAAGATTTTAACCTTGTTCTCTTTCTTACTATTGTCCAGTACCTTACTGCCCACTTTACCCAAGCTATCAACGCGCAAAAGTGACGATGACGGTAACATTGAAAGCTCCAGAGCAGCAGTTTTGCTTGGTGACAAGGAAGAATCATCTCCAGTTTCGTCATCAATTCAAACTCCTGCCACAGACAGTGGAATCCAACGACATAGCCATCAGAACTTAAGCACAGCAAATCAAATATGTATTTCAATTGCAGCTTCAGAGAACACTCGGATTTGTTGTTCCATAGCAGCTGCCATTTTAGTGCTCTTGTCATACTCAGGATTCCCATTTCTGGGATGGGGCATTTTTAGGAGCATCATATGTTTGAGGCCACTTTGTCTGCTTCTGATAACAAATGTATCAATTGTGGTTGCACGGCTTCTTCTAGAAAAACAGGGGAGAGAGGAAAGACAGAAGAGTAGCGTTCCTTCTATTGGTGGAGATGGTATGATCGATCAAGTGGCAAAAGCTCTAGAGTTAGGATTATTGATGCAGAAGATTGTAGGTGCATTGTTCATGGATTCCAGCATTTACGCGGTGGTGCTAGTATGTGGTCTTTCAGTGGCACAAAGANTGCAGAAGATTGTAGGTGCATTGTTCATGGATTCCAGCATTTACGCGGTGGTGCTAGTATGTGGTCTTTCAGTGGCACAAAGACTTGGCTGGTAAAACTTCCTTTTGAAGCGAACGAAATGCGTGTAAGATTACTGTCTAGTTTGACCATATTTGCATGTCTGGTATGGTAAATTGAATAGTTCTCGAAAGTATTAAATTAGAAAAATAAGTTAAGCGTGTCATTAAATTGTCTAGGGCTAGTCTGTGTACCAACTAAACATGCACTGTAGTTCCTCAATTTTGCTGTGAGCAAAATTTTGCTTGATAAACATATATGATTTTTGGGACAAGATTTATTTCAAGTAAATTTCATACTTGTCTTATTTTTTTGTGTTGATTGAAACTGAGTTGGATATTCCCATTGTCAATTGGGTCTATGACGGTTCAACAAAAAGTTGTAACTTTGTTATTTGTTGGTTGCACTGCAGCACAGACACTTTTATTAGGGTAGCGTCTCCGTGTTGGACACGTGTCAATACCGATACTTCTCGGACACTCCGCTATCAACATTTTTCATTATTTATTAAAAATATTATATATTTTTAACTTAAAGTTATTAGTAAATAACAAATGAGTACTCATATTTAAAAGATTTCAAAAAAAAAAATTAATAATAAGTATAAAACTAAATTTATACTATATAAATAAAGATTTCTAAAGAATTTAATCAATGTGTCAACAATGTGTCGTGTAGGTACTTTTTTGAAAAATCATGTGTCAACGTTATAAGTGTTGGACACACGTCTGTGTCAGTACATCACAGGTTCGGTGCATGTTTAGTTCCCATGAGGTGTTTTGTGAACACTGTAATGTTGTGTTAGATCTTTAATTTGGCCTTTATTCACACTTGAGATTCTATTGAACCAAGAAACATGTTCGATTTAAGTGAGACGAGTTTCCCTGAAGGTCTGGAGGAGATTTAACTAAGATTTGGACGATTTTTGTTGTTGGGGGACTATTTTGCAAGTATAATATGTAAAGAGGAGAATCTATCGCAAAATAGACAAAAATCAACGGCCGACAATTTCACTATCGGCCTCCAAGTCCAATGGTCCAAAACTATCCCTCCTCTCATATCAACTTTTCTTTTCTTTTGACTTTTTTGTCGGGGGAGAAAATGTTCGAGATGAAGACATCAAAATACATGTTTAATCATTAAAACAATTATGTTACATGTACATTCTTATTTATACTAAATTTGACATTCTAACACATGACATCCATAATAGTCGTTGACTTTTGGGATAATTGTAGCAGAAGTTCCAAACCTTTAAAACGCTAGCAAATTTTTTTCCAAACCTTTCAATCGTTACACCTGTCACCCCTAACATTGCCAACCGTAGCGTGTGAGGTCATTTTGGACAATTTTCATTCAAAATTTTGTCAGTTCACCAAAAAAATGATTTTGACTAGAGTTATAAATCCAGGACCGGACCGGCCGATTCGTTCCAAAAATTATTGAACCGGACCCAGGTTCGGTCCGAGTTCATTGAATTTAAAACTGAAGAAGGAACCCGCCATCTACTTGGTAAACCGTCGATTTTTAACGAAACTCGTCTGCTAACTTTTTCGTGACCCGATCGGGTTTTAAGTAACCCACATTTTCTCAATTTCTCTGCCTTAACGCTTTCCCAGTTTCCCCAATCCCGTTTCGTCTCAAATTCTCCGAAATTAGGGATCTTCATCCTTGAAAATTCAATAAGCTCAGCCGTCATCTCCAATCTCTTGCAATTCAACCACTCCCAAAAATCATAATATCCAAGTTCGAGTTCTAACTTCTAAGAGATGGAACTGGAAGAGCAGGCTAGCTGTCAGATGTATTTTGCAACAAAAAATGACCAAAATTGATTTTATACATAGCAAATTTTCTAGATCATACATTTATGTTTTCTTCTTCTGTTAACTGTTTTTATTGTTCAAATAGATTACAATAAAAAAATTATTTTCTTGTTTTGTTCATTGGTTGTGGCGATGGGAAATAGAAGCGTCTATTGGAAAAAAGCTAAAAAGAATTAAGAATGCAATTCAGTAATTGGATTGGCTTAAAGGTGAGGTCCCAGTGAGAATGAAATAGGCTTTTCTTTCTGTGGTCAATTGGATTGGAGGTCTGTACACTACACTAAGATTGAAATCACTTGTTAGGCTTGATGACAAAAAACCCCAGGTAAATTGCTTATTTGTAATGTATTTGTGTGTGTTAAACATACATAATACAAGTACATATTAAGGTAGAGTATATATTCCTTTGATCTGCATTTACATTTTTTTGGGGAATGAAGGAAGATGCTTTCTTGTTAAGGGAATAAATTCGGTGTTGCCTTAGTTCTATGGAACATGAGATGAACACTAATTGCAATCTAG